ACATCCTAAATATTTATTGAGCAAAGAACCAAGTAAGAAATGCATTTTCAATTTTGGACTAGGGGCGACCCTAGTCAAAATCAATTTTCTCAAGTTTTTCTTCGAGGGTTTATCCAAATGGATTGAAACTTTGCAGAAATATTCAAGGGCTTAAAACAAATACAAATAAAACATCCTAAAATTTTTTTGAACAAAGAACCAAGTAGGAAATACATTTTACATTTTGGACTAAGGGCGACCCTAGTCAAAAACATTTTTCTCAATTTTTTCTTCGAAAAATTATCCAAATGAATTGAAACTTTGCATAAATATTCTGGTGCTTCAAACAAATACAAATAAAACATCCTAAAATTTTTTTGAGCAAAGAACCAAGTAGGAAATACATTTTCAATTTTGGACTAGGGGCGACCCTAGTCAAAATCAATTTTCTCACTTTTTTCTTCGAGGTTTTATCCAAATGCATTGAAACTTTGCATAAATATTCTAGTGCTTAAAACAAATACAAATAAAACATCTTAAATTTTTTTGGAACAAAGAACCAAGTAGGAAATACATTTTCAATTTTGGACTAGGGGCGACCCTAGTCAAAAACAATTTTCTCACTTTTTTTTTCGAAAAATTATCCAAATGGATTGAAACTTTGCATAAATATTCTAAAACAAATACAAAAAAACATCCTAAATATTTTTTGAGCAAAGAACCAAGTTAGAAATACATTTTCAATTTTGGACTAGGGGCGACCCTAGTCAAAATCAATTTTCTCAAGTTTTTCTTCGAGGGTTTATCCAAATGGATTAAAACTTTGCATAAATATTCTAATGCTTAAAACTAATATAAATAAAACATCCAAAAATTTTTTTGAGCAAAGAACCAAGTAGGAAATACATTTTCAATTTTGGACTAGGGGCGACCCTAGTCAAAATCAATTTTCTTAATTTATTTTTTCGAGGGTTTATCCAAATAGATTAAAACTTTGCATAAATATTTAAGTGCTTAAAATAAATACAAATAAAACATCCTAAAATTTTTTTGAACAAAGAACCAAGAAGGAAATACATTTTCAATTTTGGACTAGGGGCGACCCTAGTCAAAATCAATTTTCTTAATTTATTTTTTCGAGGGTTTATCCAAATAGATTAAAACTTTGCATAAATATTCTAATGCTTAAAACTAATATAAATAAAACATCCAAAAATTTTTTTTAGCAAAGAACCAAGTAGGAAATACATTTTCAATTTTGGACTAGGGGCGACCCTAGTCAAAATCAATTTTCTCAAGTTTTTCTTCGAGGGTTTATCCAAATGGATTAAAACTTTGCATAAATATTCTAATGCTTAAAACTAATATAAATAAAACATCCAAAAATTTTTTTGAGCAAAGAACCAAGTAGGAAATACATTTTCAATTTTGGACTAGGGGCGACCCTAGTCAAAATCAATTTTCTTAATTTATTTTTTCGAGGGTTTATCCAAATGGATTAAAACTTTGCATAAATATTCTAATGCTTAAAACTAATATAAATAAAACATCCAAAAATTTTTTTGAGCAAAGAACCAAGTAGGAAATACATTTTCAATTTTGGACTAGGGGCGACCCTAGTCAAAATCAATTTTCTCAATTTTATCTTCGAGGTTTTATCCAAATGGATTGAAACTTTGCATAAATATTCTAGTGCTTAAAACAAATACAAATAAAACATCCTAAAATTTTTTTGAACAAAGAACCAAGTAGGAAATACATTTTCAATTTTGAACTAAGGGCGACCCTAGTCAAAAAAAATTTTCTCACTTTTCTTTTCGAAAAATTATCCAAATGGATTGAAACTTTGCATAAATATTTTAGTGCGTAAAACAAATACAAAAAAACATCCTAAATTTTTTTGAACAAAGAACCAAGTAGGAAATACATTTTCAATTTTGAACTAGGGGCGACCCTAGTCAAAAAAAATTTTCTCACTTTTCTTTTCGAAAAATTATCCAAATGGATTAAAACTTTGCATAAATATTCTAATGCTTAAAACTAATATAAATAAAACATCCAAAAATTTTTTTGAGCAAAGAACCAAGTAGGAAATACATTTTCAATTTTGGACTAGGGGCGACCCTAGTCAAAATCAATTTTCTTAATTTATTTTTTCGAGGGTTTATCCAAATGGATTAAAACTTTGCATAAATATTCTAATGCTTAAAACTAATATAAATAAAACATCCAAAAATTTTTTTGAGCAAAGAACCAAGTAGGAAATACATTTTCAATTTTGGACTAGGGGCGACCCTAGTCAAAATCAATTTTCTCAATTTTATCTTCGAGGTTTTATCCAAATGGATTGAAACTTTGCATAAATATTCTAGTGCTTAAAACAAATACAAATAAAACATCCTAAAATTTTTTTGAACAAAGAACCAAGTAGGAAATACATTTTCAATTTTGAACTAAGGGCGACCCTAGTCAAAAAAAATTTTCTCACTTTTCTTTTCGAAAAATTATCCAAATGGATTGAAACTTTGCATAAATATTTTAGTGCGTAAAACAAATACAAAAAAACATCCTAAATTTTTTTGAGCAAAGAACCAAGTAGGAAATACATTTTCAATTTTGGACTAGGGGCGACCCTAGTCAAAATCAATTTTCTCAATTTTTTCTTCGAGGTTTTATCCAAATGGATTGAAACTTTGCATAAATATTCTAGTGCTTAAAACAAATACAAATAAAACATCCTAAAATTTTTTTGAACAAAGAACCAAGTAGGAAATACATTTTCAATTTTGGACTAGGGGCGACCCTAGTCAAAATCAATTTTCTCAATTTTTTCTTCGAGGTTTTATCCAAATGGATTGAAATTTTGCATAAATATTCTAGTGCTTAAAACAAATACAAATAAAACATCCTAAAATTTTTTTGAACAAAGAACCAAGTAGGAAATACATTTTCAATTTTGGACTAGGGGCGACCCTAGTCAAAATCAATTTTCTTAATTTATTTTTTCGAGGGTTTATCCAAATGGATTAAAACTTTGCATAAATATTCTAATGCTTAAAACTAATATAAATAAAACATCCAAAAATTTTTTTGAGCAAAGAACCAAGTAGGAAATACATTTTCAATTTTGGACTAGGGGCGACCCTAGTCAAAATCAATTTTCTCAATTTTTTCTTCGAGGTTTTATCCAAATGGATTGAAACTTTGCATAAATATTCTAGTGCTTAAAACAAATACAAATAAAACATCCAAAAATTTTTTTGAACAAAGAACCAAGTAGGAAATACATTTTCAATTTTGAACTAGGGGCGACCCTAGTCAAAAAAAATTTTCTCACTTTTCTTTTCGAAAAATTATCCAAATGGATTGAAACTTTGCATAAATATTCTAGTGCTTAAAACAAATACAAATAAAACATCCTAAAATTTTTTTGAACAAAGAACCAAGTAGGAAATACATTTTCAATTTTGAACTAGGGGCGACCCTAGTCAAAAAAAATTTTCTCACTTTTCTTTTCGAAAAATTATCCAAATGGATTAAAACTTTGCATAAATATTCTAATGCTTAAAACTAATATAAATAAAACATCCAAAAATTTTTTTGAGCAAAGAACCAAGTAGGAAATACATTTTCAATTTTGGACTAGGGGCGACCCTAGTCAAAATCAATTTTCTCAATTTTTTCTTCGAGGTTTTATCCAAATGGATTAAAACTTTGCATAAATATTCTAATGCTTAAAACTAATATAAATAAAACATCCAAAAATTTTTTTGAGCAAAGAACCAAGTAGGAAATACATTTTCAATTTTGGACTAGGGGCGACCCTAGTCAAAATCAATTTTCTCAATATTTTCTTCGAAAGTTTATCCAAATGGATTGAAACTTTGCATAAATATTCTAGTGCGTAAAACAAATACAAAAAAAACATCCTAAATATTTTTTGAGCAAAGAACCAAGTAAGAAATACATTTTACATTTTGGACTAGGGGCGACCCTAGTCAAAATCAATTTTCTCACTTTTTTCTTCGCGGGTTTATCCAAATGGATTGAAACTTTGCATAAATATTCAAGTGCTTAAAACAAATACAAATAAAACATCCTAAAATTTTTTTGAACAAAGAACCAAGTAGGAAATACATTTTCAATTTTGGACTAGGGGCGACCCAAGTCAAAAACATTTTTCTCAATTTTTTCTTCGAAAAATTATCCAAATGGATTGAAACTTTGCATAAATATTCTAGTGCTTAAAACAAATACAAATAAAACATCCTAAAATTTTTTTGAGCAAAGAACCAAGTAGGAAATACATTTTCAATTATGAACTTGGGACAGGTCTAGTCAAAATCTAGTTATTCACTTTTTTTTCTTCGAGGATAAATCCAAATACAGTAAATTTTTGTATGAGCATTCTAATCCTCAGGTCACACATTTCTGAATTAATCAAAATCATTTTTTTGGACAAAATTTTAAGTCACGTTGTTTTTGAATGTACAACCAAATTTATAAAATTTGGGTCTGACGACATATATCAGCTGATTCGCTAGCTTTATTTATTCAAACTTATGCTCCAGCTTTATGATTCGCTAGCTTGATTCATTCAAATTATGCTGATTCGCTAGCTTTATACCTTAAGACTTTTGATGGTACGGTGTGAATATATCCGCATTGGGTTTCTACCCGATACACTAGTTTTTTGTTGAAGATGTGAAATTTCAGGCACAAACTTAAAAAATTCCGTTCCAAATATTTTCACTTCCAACAAAAAATGCTCCCTCACAAACTTTTCTTCCAGGACCATTTTTAGCCAAGCTGAATTTTTAATTTGAGCAAAACCAATAAATTAAATCGGTGCTCTACGTAAGGAGGTATAAAGAATGGAGCTAGAAAGTCATTAATTTAATAGAAAAATTTATTTAAAGTCGGTAAAGTTTAACATTACTAACGGTTTTCAAAAAGTTTGAATTCTATGAAAAGATAATCGTAGCTTGAAACGAACTCTTCAAAAATTTGTGAGAAAAAAGGTTAAAACACTTAAAAACGTGAAATTAAATTTAATTAAATAAAATGAAGTGGAAAGAAATACTTGCAAATGGCTGTGACGTTACTTATCGGCATGGTCATCGTGCTGTTGTTGCTAATGACTGTATATACATTTATGGAGGAGGAAATTGGAAAATTTGCAAACAATTAAATGGATATAATGTAAAGGAAAATTTGAACTTTTTGCCAAAATACAGCGGAAAAATATGTCCAGGCGTTGCATGCTTTGGAATGGTAATATCTGACGAAACAATCATCATTTTTGGTGGAATGGGTGAATTTGGACTATACTCGAATAGTTTATATGCAAGTATATGTTTATATGGGCTAAAGTACCACTTTAAACCAACAATTCCAACATTACAGACATTAAACATAAAGTCGTGGTCATGGAAGAAGCACAATTTTCCTAATAAATACTTACCGGAACCGAGAATTGGACATTCATTTACAATTTCAGACGATAATAAAATTTACTTATTTGGTGGTTTGATTAACGGTGATCCAAAACCAAATGATAAATTTACTCCCAAATATATGAACGATTTATATATCCTTCATATGACTGAAAATGACAAGTTTATATGGGAGAAGTTACCTACAGCTGTAGAAGGACCATGTGGGCGAGAATCTCATTCAGCAGTTTTTCATTACGACAAGAAGGAAAATGTCAAGTTTCTTATTGTTTTTGGAGGAATGAATACCAATCGATTAGGTGATTTATGGTTTCTTGACTTAAATCAGTTTGTTTGGATGCAGATTTTGGTTTCTGGAATTCCGCCTGCACCGCGTTCGCTTCATTCTGCATCATTAATTGGCACAAAAATGTAAGAATTTATCTTATTAAATGTAATTGCTGTGAATTCTATATTAATTCTACACAGGTACATTTTTGGTGGTTGGGTAGATCGTAAACCATTGAAATCAGCATTCGATCCACCATCAGTACGTTTTGAAACAACAAATAGTCTCAGCTATTTAGATCTTGATGATTTGAAGTGGGTTCACTGTGACTATAATGATGAAAATCGTCCAAAAAACCGTGCAGGACATTCAGCCGTGACAGTCGGCAATCGAATCTATATGTGGGGTGGTCGTTCGTGTTTTGCAAGTGCTGAGGATGATTCCGCTTGTACCAAAGATTTTTGGTATTTGGAAACAGAAATTCCACCAAAAATCTTAAACGTTTCTTTACTCAAAGCAACAAGAACTACGCTAGAAATAGAATGGGATTATGACATCGATAATGCTGAATGCTACATAGTTGAAATCCACAAGATTCATTTAGTTCCTATTGATATAAGTAAGATTCGCATCAAGACCAACTTACCGAAAATTGAAAAGGAAAAATCTGTTGATCAATATAAAGGAACTAGTATCAAGCGCAAATTAGAGGAATTAGAAATAACTGTAAGCAAGAAATTCAACGCAGATAAAACGAACGACAACTCAAAGTCTGAAGACATTATGAGTGACGGAAAGACAGAAGAAAACAAGAACAAAGAAATTGATGACAAAAATATCGACGTCGATGAAAATAAGAATATAATAGAGGCTAAAAATGATGTTCAAGTTAAGCATGAAAGTCCAATCAAGGTTTGTGTCAGAGCTTAGTATTTAATGTGTGCTAATAGACCGTTATTTATTAACTTAATTGTCTCATTTAGCATGAATAACTACTTACTAAATTTTCTTTCAGTCTATCCAAGGAATTGACAAGGCATGGCTTACTGTTGGCGTCTACAAAAGCAATTCATGCATCGTTGATGGGTTTTATACATTCAAAATTAATACGACGAATTTAACTTATCAAAACTGTCCCGAACCGAAAGACTTGATTCCAGAACTTAAAGCACATCTTACTGAAAATACAATGTATGCATTTAGAATCGCAGCTATCAATTTGATGGGGATTGGCGAATGGAGTAAAATGTTTTACTTTAAAACTGCTGATGTGGAGATGCCATCAATGCCAAATAACTGTAAATTTATTCCGTCGCCTCAAGGCTTGCGTTTAGCATGGAATCCTAATCCTTTACAAGAAAAAATCACTGCCTATAGTGTTTTTATCGCAATCAATAAGAACGAAGAAAAAAATGAATTCAGTTTCTTGCGACTGTACGAGGGAATCCAACCAACATGTAATGTCTTACAAAACTACATCAACTCTGCATATCAAGAATATTCAGGATTAGATACGTTTGTAATCTTTCGAATTACAGCTTGTAACAGTATTGGAACTAGCTCACCTTTATTAACAACCTATCAACTTTAATTAACTTTTATGTAGAACATTTTTTGAAAGACTTTGTATTCCAAAAACAATAACGGCTAGTAAAAATTTGAATTTTTAAAATTATTGAATGAACTCTTTCTTTTTTCAAGTAATAATGTCACATTAATTTTTAGCTTAATTATAGTGCATACTTGATGTTATTTAAGTTATTTCAACTAAAACTATTAGGTTAAAAGGATTATAATTGATCAGCTTTAGAAAATATCAGTATAATCAGATCATAATAAGGATTAAATATAGTCACTGGAAGATTTAAATTTTCGCGCGCATTGAAACGTCAAGCCGTGTTGGAACTTTCAAAACACGTCCAAACCCCTTATTTTATAGTGAGTTGGAGCTTGTCATACACATAAAATTCACATTTAGAAATAAAAATTCAACGAGTTAAGTGGAAGTTCGTGATTCCTGGTTAAATAGTATAAATTTAATAAACAATTAATAGTTAATAATTAAATTAACATCAAAATGGGAAGTAAGTATCATACATTTCATTTAGAAATGATCAAACTAAGGAATTTAATGCATTTTTTTCGGAATCACTTGCGATTTATATGAATCTTGCTTTCATCAATTGCCTTGTTGGCAGACTTAAAGACTAGTTCATCTTAATTCTATGCATTTTCCTGAATTAATTCATGCTATTTCTATTCTCCAGTTAAATTTCTCGAGGTTATTAAGCCTTTTTGTAGTATCCTGCCTGAAGTAACAAAGCCAGAACGGAAGGTAAGCACTTTCTAAAATTTTGACACTAACATTTCTCTATAACACACAAAAAAAAAACTTCCAAATCACAACTTACAGATCCAGTTTCGTGAGAAAGTGCTATGGACGGCAATTACTTTATTCATTTTCCTCGTTTGTTGTCAAATTCCACTTTTTGGAATCATGTCATCAGATTCAGCAGATCCATTTTATTGGATTCGTGTAATTCTCGCATCAAATCGTGGTACTTTAATGGAATTAGGTATTTCGCCGATTGTTACATCAGGTCTTATCATGCAATTGTTGGCTGGTGTTAAAATTATCGAGGTCGGAGACACACCAAAAGACAGAGCACTTTTTAATGGAGCTCAAAAACTATTCGGTATGGTTATCACAATTGGTCAAGCAATTGTATACGTAATGACTGGAATGTATGGTGATCCTTCTGAAATCGGAGCTGGAGTCTGTCTTCTTATCATCATTCAACTTTTCGTAGCTGGTCTCATTGTACTTCTTCTTGATGAATTGCTCCAAAAAGGTATGAGAAATATTTTTTTTTTTATCTTAAATAAAACCGTTATTTTATGATGTACTGTGTTGTTCATTTCATTGACGCAGGCTATGGTTTGGGCTCTGGAATTTCACTTTTTATTGCCACAAACATTTGCGAGACAATCGTGTGGAAAGCATTCTCACCAGCAACAGTCAATACAGGACGTGGAACAGAATTTGAGGGTGCTATTATTGCCTTATTCCATTTGTTGGCTACACGTCAAGATAAAGTACGTGGGCTTCGTGAAGCTTTCTACCGTCAAAACTTGCCAAACTTGATGAACTTATTCGCTACCATTCTCGTCTTTGCGATAGTTATATACTTCCAAGGATTCCGTGTCGATCTACCAATCAAATCTGCCCGTTATCGTGGACAATACAGCAGTTATCCAATCAAACTTTTCTACACATCCAACATTCCTATTATCTTGCAATCGGCTCTCGTCTCAAATCTCTACGTTATCTCACAAGTAAGCGCTGACATTTAATTTTATGCTGACAATTTTTTTATTTTTAATACTAATCTTTTATAGATGTTGGCAGTTAAATTCCATGGCAACTTTATGGTTAACTTACTTGGTGTTTGGGCTGATGTTGGAGGTGGCGGACCAGCTCGTTCATATCCAATTGGAGGACTCTGTTACTATTTATCACCACCAGAGAGTCTCGGCCATATTGCACAAGATCCAGTTCATGCTGTTCTCTACATCATTTTCATGTTAGGCTCATGTGCATTCTTCTCAAAGACTTGGATTGATGTTTCAGGAAGCTCCGCAAAAGACGTTGCTAAACAATTAAAGGAACAACAAATGGTTATGCGTGGACATCGTGAAAACTCAATGATCCACGAATTGAACCGATACATCCCAACAGCAGCTGCTTTTGGCGGTCTCTGTATTGGCGCTTTGTCTGTCATGGCAGATTTCTTAGGTGCAATTGGATCCGGTACTGGTATTCTTCTTGCTGTAACAATCATTTATCAATATTTCGAAATCTTCGTAAAAGAACAAAGCGAAGGATTAGGAATGGGCAGTTTACTATTCTAAGAAGTCTGTTTATAATTTACATCATAATTTAACATTCAACATACTCCTCCTCTCACAAACACATCCATTTTTAATTTTTTTTATTAAAAAATAAACATCAAAAACTATAGGACAAACAATATCTTTGATCCTGAGTTGTTTCCTTTATGTCAATTTCTCCAATACACGTAAAAGTTCTAATTTAAAAAGCAAAAAATGAAAGAAACACATGTGTAATAATACCTATAATTTTAACAAATATTTCGAATGGTTACTTTAAAAGCATTTTTTACAAAGTACTGTTTTTTTAGTTTGAGAGATCCATTCGGCTCATGTTTTCAGAGAAAAACGATAAACAATTAATTGATTTATGAGAAGACAAAAAAAAATATGAAACATTAATTTAAGGTGTTGTATTTGAATACAAAATAAAGAAAAATAATTAAAATATGATTAAAAAAATAAGTTTAACATGTTTTTATCCAGTTGTAAACTAGATCTCAACGTGAATGGACGTGTTTACAAATCTCTCCGCAAATTATTCAAAAATCTCAAAAGAAACAAAACAGAGATTACCTTAGAATCTTTTTGTTTGCAAAAAGTTTCAAAATCTCAGTTTGATTTTCGAAACATCAAAATGGTAGAATCACCAACAACGAAGAAAATCTTTCTCAAAATCAGCATGGACTTAATAGTTCTCAACAACAACATTCATCTTCAGTGACAATTCTCAATATTGAGGAAATTATCAGTGAAAATTTTTCACAAGCAGCCGACATTGAGATGACAAATCACTCAACCTAGAACAAGTGTTTTAGACCTCAAAACAGATGTGAACTTAAAAGTGATGTATTGACAAAAGTTGCTACAGGCTGAGATGCATCCAACGTGATTGTCGCTCAGAATGACGACAAATCAATGTTTGTTTATAATTAATTAAGGTTTTTTCGAGATTTTAACATTTAATGCCTTAATTGTTTTAAAATTTTTTAATAATTTGGAATTTCAGACTTACTTGTTGAAATTTTATGGAAAATGTTCCTCAACTTCCTCTGGAATCTTTAGTAAGCCAAGCTTCTGGATCTCCAAGCTTAAATATCCGCACGGAGTCAATTGAAAAAATGTTGAGACCACGAGGAAAAAATTCTTTTATAAATTCTTCAAATTTATTTTTTTATTTCGGCTTTTTAGGCTGGTTATTTATCCTTATTTTTTGTTTAAATCCTAGAATAGGACTTAATTAATATTTTTATTACAAGTTGTTTTTTGAAACTTACTCTTTTGTGTCTTAATTAATTAAATTTTTTAATTCTTGCTTTCTTCGTTTTTTATCTATTTCTGAACTCACTCTGTGAGGTTTTTTTGTAAGGTTTTGAAGTTTGAATTATTAATAATCGTTAATGATTCTTAACGATAAATTAAGTTTTCTTTATAATTTTCTATTTTACCTAGCATAATTCATGGAATCTATTCGTAATATATGGAACTGACAGTAAATAATATCTCTCTATGAGAAATTATTTTACATTCCGGCGCGCAAGAAATTTAATCAATTTTACATGGTATACTTTGGAAACATTGCAAGATTATAGTCATTATACATAGGATGACTATTTACATAATTGTTTGGTGCAATTGGAAAATTATAAAATGGATATTGATTTACAGGAAATGACATTAGATTGAAATGCTGAACTTGCATAGATTGAGAAGGAATAGTTGTCACTAAAGGTTGACGATTTGATGAGAAAGTATTAATGAAAGTAGGAAATGGTTGAAAATTCATTGGTAATTGTGGAACTGATTGATTTATATTGTTATCAAATGATTTTAATGAAAATTTATTGCTGGAAGTTGTTGGATGATGTTGATCCTTTTCCTTTCGAGTCTTACGTTCTTTCTTAGGTGTCTTCTTATAAGGATGTTGTGATCTTGGAGCTGCTTGTGAATATTTTGAATGATGTATTCCTTTATTTTGATGCTGATGAATATTGTGGAAATTTCCACTCGACTTTATGATTTTGAGACAGGACTGCGCCAAATTTGTTTCAAATCCATCTTTGATGAACTTTTTCATGATTTTCCGTGCATCCTTATTATCCTTATACCCAACAAACGCATGAGTGTTATTGACAGAGACATATTCTGTATGTTTACTTCCATAATTATTCAATTTATTTAATATGTCCAAAATATGCTGTTTAGGCAGTTTCCTGATCTTTAATATTCTGGCATTATTGTAGTCAGTGTATTCAAATACGATTCTTTCATTTGTTTGATCTGGTGTCATAATCAAATATGAGTATAAATCGAATCTTAAAGTATATGACTTCCCGTCTGCGTTGAGTTCACTTTTTTGTTTCAATTTCTCGATAATATTTCCATCCTTAATTTGCATACGAAGATGATATCGTTCATTCTTTAATTGCTCTATATGTACTGATGTTATGTCTTTAAATTGCTCGTAATCCATTCCAATTTTTCGCCTCAAATCGTATAAAAACTTGTTAGGGTCATTTTTGTTGTAGATTGATGAAACTTTTAACACGTTTACATCCATTTTGCAGTCTAAAAGAAAATATAAGCAGAAATAATAATGTTTTGATGAGAAATTTGCCAATATTTTTGTCATGTTTCAACTTTTTTGTCGATCAGACTAATGTTTTGATACATGTAAACTCTTTTTGGTTTCATGTTATTAATAAATTATTATTTTTTTTTTTTTTTTTTTTTTTTTTTTTTCACGTCAATTCTTCTTGATTGATCATGTTTTAGATAAATAATTATATATATATATATATATATTTTTTTTTTTTTATGTCAACTCTTTTTGGTTGCATTAAAATTTGAAATTTCAAACGTATTTTTAAAGATTTAAATTGAGTTTGCTATAAATTGGCCAATTTTATAGCAACTGCCTAAAAATTATGATGTTAATATAATTTTAACGTTTATTTGAAGTTTTATCAATTTGATATAATTTGTCTATAGCATTTGCTATAATTTGTAGAAATTTGACTTTGATTTTTTTTTTTTTTTTTTTTTAAATTTTGATTGAACGTTATTTTGATTCAATCATTTTACATTTTTATGGCTTCTACATCAATCTTGGCTACGGATAACGCACCGCGATTTACAATACTATACTTTTCATTCTTATACTTTTCTAGCAACTTTTTGTGCGAAAGATTCTTAATTTCGGAAATTAGATTATTTTTGCCTAACAAGACTTTATACTCTCTGGCTTGATTTTTGGATCCAATTATAACTTCTACAATTTTTCCAATTCTCCACGAATTTACTATAATTGTGTCAACAGTCATAACGATATCACCAACTTTTAAGGGAACTTTAGTGTCTACCCACTTTTCTCGCATTAATATAGTTGGCAAATAATACTTTATCCAATGATTCCAAAGTATGTTGGAGATTATTTTCAAGTCATCATAAGATTCTGTCAAGGGTTTTTTATTATTTACAGTACATGGAACTGTTTGAATAGTTTGTCGTCCAATCAAAAAATAATTAGGAGTCAGTATTACATTGTTAGTTCCTTGTATCGGAATTAATGTCAACGGACGGTTATTTAAAATGCCAATAACCTCATTTAAAATAGCTCTTAGCATAAAATCATTAAATAACTTTCTATGGATCGCAGACATTTCGATTATTTTCTTAAGAATAGTTTTGGTAAGTCCAACCATACGTTCTACTGATCCTTGTGAGTGAGGTGATCTAGGAGGACCAAATTTCCAAGTAATTGGAGCTGTAATGAGTCCATTTTTTAAGAGCATCTTATTCCATCTATTTACATCATTTTCTAAAATATTTTTAGCGCCTTTGAAATTCAAGCCATTATCTGATACAATTATTTTTGGTGCACCTCTCAAATTTATTGTGTTATTTAATGCGATTAATGTTGAATCTGAGTCCATTCGCTCTATTAATTCCAAATGTATTGCACGAGTTGTAAGACAACTATAAACGAATATATACCGCTTGTCTGTTATGTTTCTGTAGATATTCACCGAAATAGGTCCAGCTAAGTCGACAATAGCATTCGTAAACGCTGGATTATGATGAGCTAATCTTTCTGCTGGAATATCACCCATCAATGGTGTTTGAGCTTTTGCTGCGTCAATCCTACAATTTAAGCATTTAGTCTTAATAGTTTGATTAACAATCCACTTAATATGTGGTATATAAAATCTTTGCGTAATATGTGCAACTACACTATTCTTTAACGAATGCTTATTATTTTCATGATATCGTAATATCACTAATGATGTAAGAGGATGTGTTTTGGGCAATAATATCGGACAAATCCGATCATATCCATATTGATTGACATTCGCAGGATTTAATGACAATCTTGTTGTGACTCTAATGATTTCATTTTGATCTAAGAATGGACTTAATTTGTGAATTTTATTGTGCAAAGGAATTGGCTTATTATTTTTAAGCATTTTAATTTCTTTAGAATAAACACTTTTTTGTGCTTTTGCAACGCATATAATTTCAACATGTTTGTACATGAAATTGACATTCATGATTTCAGATCTTCTTTCATAATATTCGTTTGTCAATGATTTAATTTCTTCTTATAATGCACGATTGTGTCTGTCATTTAATAAAGTCAGTTTTAATTCAATTATCTTTTTCATTACTCTTTCATTTCGAGAAATATGAATGAATCTGTAAGCGTATTGATAAGCATTTATCAAGGATAAATATTTATTGAAATTTGCTGGATTGAACACATCATCTGCTTCATTTTCTGCATCATCTTCGCCGTTTTGAGTATAGAGGTAATGTAAATTCATCTGATTTTCGATCTCAACTTTATTGGCTGTAAATTCAGGCCAATTCTTCTCGGGCATGGAAAAAAGACGTGGATGAAACCATTCATTTTTGAAATGAATTTCAGGAATTGAACTAAATTTAGTTCCATAATCTGCTACCATGAATTCTGTTGGAATCCATTTCCAACTATCTTTCTCAGTTAAATTATGAATTTTGTCTACACGATTTTTTACATAAATGGTTGGTTTTCTTGGATCATTTGTTATCCATTCTTTTACTGCTGCATTATCAGTCGCATAAATGTATTTATCAATTTTAAATGTATGCGTCTTTACTATATCATTTGCCATTATACAAATTTTTAGAGCAACATTTAATTCCAATTCTGGGATTGTTCTTTGATGCTTAATTGGCGTAACGAATGTTTTGGAATGTACGAGATTATACCCTAACTGCTCATTTTTGCTATTCAAAAATCGAAAGAATATAACTCCACAAGCTATATCTTTTCCTGAATCTCCAAAAGCCCAAAGCTGGATTTCTGAAGCATTGGAATAATAAGGACAATACAAACGAGGGATTTTTATTTTAGAAATTTCCTTAAACCATTCTAAGCATTTTTGCCACAGACTGAAATGTTCATCATTGAGTACCTGATCCCA